CCCCAGTATTTCCCGCAAAAAAAACACGGTTTTTCCAGCGTTTTCGCAAAGAGGACGTCCAAAAACATTGAGTTTTTCCAGATTTTCGGCAAAAGGATGCAGGAAGCCCAAGCCAGCAAAAAAGCCGGCAGGGGGAATCGAGCCTGGGACCCCTGTTTTGCGACACCGGCTCCCCGAAGACTACGTTTAGTGGAACGTCATCAAATTGCCGCGCGGTACGTGGGGGACCCCCCCCCCAAAAAAAAACCTACGTAATAGACGTCGGGCGGGGGGGGGGTTAGGGGGGGGGTTATCCTCTATCCTCTAGTAAGTATCCGACACGCCGAGCAATGTCGGCGGATATATACATACACGTACATATGGCCTATGTGTTGAGCAATCATCTTGTTGAAAGGCCAGTTATGAGGGGGTTTAAAAAGAGACGGTCTGATGTCAAGCGTCGGGCCGGTTCAAACAAGACTCGATTGACCATTTGTTTGAACATATTGTTGTTACAGTTTTAGGGAACACACCACATAGTTTCTCTCAAGCAGACCATATATATATATATATGTACATAAGGGCTCCCCAATTTTGGGGAACACATACATCATGCATGCAATGCATACATTTATGCATTCCTGTGATGCATTCATTCCTTGCTTCCTTCCTTCATTCATTCATTCATTTATTCATTCATTCATTCATTCGTGCATTCATACATTCCTAGATTCATACATTCATTCGTGTATTCATACATTCCTAGATTCATACATTCATACAGTCATTCATCATTCATACGTACTTACGTACGTACATTCATGCATCAATACAAATTAATATATATATATATATATCTCTTGTTGAAGGAGCTTTTGATCACCTGTTGGACGGCCCATTTAGGTGGTCTCCAATGTTGGGGAGCATCTTCATACAACAAGAGAGCCCCAAAAGGCCCTAGTTTTGGCAACCACCCGATCACAGGGGATGGCATTATCCAGGACACGAAAGTGAAGCCCAGCCACCTGTCACAGTCAATTTGGGGAGAGCATATGTGACTTGCTGCTTATGTGAACCCAGTTGTACAGTATTCATTTTTGGCGGAATGGTCCATTTCAGGCTAGCCAACCACAGACGCTCATGGACCCGGGTCGCCGTTTGGACAAGGCTCTCACTAGGTGCTCCTTTCAGGTTAGTTTGGATAGAATTAGATGGCACTGGTTTAGCTTGGTTTTATGCCCCATTTACGAGGGACATCTCTTTCAAAAGGTCACCCATGCTCCCACTTGTTCCTCAGGACAAGCTTGCGGCGCTGAACAGTGTGGCCACCGAGGCGGGAGCTCCCCTGAGTCATGGGTAGATGGAACATGGGGACAGTCCCAGCCAGAAATTCGCGGAAAGATCCGGTGTGTTGTTATGTTTGTTGTTTTTGCGGCATGGGCGATTGGTTTGGACGCCTTTGGCTATGGATTTTGTTTTTGGTTTCATCTGAAGCCTGTTAGAAGCCAATGTGGTCTATTGACCCTGAACCCGAAGTTGATGTGGGGTAGGTGTTTGTGTGTTTTCGAGTATCTTTCGTAGTATTACAGACCTGGCAAATCAATATGGAGGACCCCTAAAGGATCAGATCCAGTTTGTGTGTTTTCCCAGCCTGTTTGTATCTGTGATTTCCCTTGGAAAACCTCCCGAGCAGGTTTTCCCAGTGTTGGGCTCCTCCCCTCAAAAAGTCCCTTCGCATTGCGGCACATTGTTTGAGTATATCTTGGGGTTATGTGCTTTTCTTTGTCTTCGGCAAGTGTTCTATGGGCGCTTGGGATATTCGCTGTAAGGATTGACATCAAACCTCAGTTGCCCAGATGTGGGGAGTGATGCGTTTTTTGGGCTGGTTGGTGCATATGCAGTTGGCCAAAACCTGATCTGTGAACAATACGGTACCCTTTGGGACCTTTCTGTATCAGGTATTTGAGCCGGTTTTTGTAGAGGGTACACGGGAAACCACCCCCTAGCTTCCAAACTACCAATCCAAACCACTAGAGGAAAGCTGATGGTGTGACACTGAAGGTTCCAATGGGCAGTCTACTTTGGGCAATCTGAGCAATCAAAACGGGCTAAGGGAAGGGAAGAACACCAAGATGGATATCTGCCTTTTCAAGTCTCTGCGCAGCTTTGGGTAGACCCCTTTCAGGTTTGATTGACCCGGACCGGTGTAGTGGTTCCCCTTGTGTAAAATTGGATCTTCATCGCTTCCCCCGAAAGAGAAATACCCCCGCCTTCCCCCCTAATGTTTTGCTTCCGGGGAAAGGTATCCATTTATTGGGCTTCAGATTGAATTTATTCATTGATCCAGTTCCTCCTTCCAAATGGTGTCTCGATTGATCCAGTTCCTCCTTCCAACTAGGCCAAGAATCTAAAACACCATTTTGGGTGTGTCTTTTGTTTGAGGGACCCCCAGATTTGGTGGCTTTTCCCACGAAAACCACCGAAAAAACACCACCGAAGCCATGGGGGTGTCCGGACACCAACCGTCGGCAGGCCCTGCAGAACGTCCGCACCCTTCGCGCCTTGGAAGGGGAGCAGTCCATGGTGTCCAGGCGCGGAAGTGGTGGCAAGGGGTCGAACGGGACATTTTTCCCCACCTGGCAAATGGCTCCAACTCGTGGAACTGGAATCACACAATTTTTTGTTTGGGGTCCCCTGAAATGTGGTTCATTTTTTGGGAGACCACCAAAATTGAGATATGACTTGGGGCGGGTTCCAGTTTTGGAGCATTGGAGGTTCCCACAAGCAAAATGGAGGACATTTTGTGATATGCGGGCACGGACTCTGGGTTGTTTGTTTAGGAAGAGCCGGCAGTGAACCTGTCTTGGATGCAAACACCTGCGAATTACCCGAAACGTCTTGAAAAGGAAGCACCCGCAAGTTGCCTCAAAACGCCCGCCAAAAACGGGCAAGCGCCCGCATAAGAAGTCAAACATACGCAAACATGCGCAAAACGCCTAAACAGCCTAAAACGCCAAGACCTGAATTCGGCTGAGCGAGTGACAAGTGCTAGTGGAGCAGAATGAGTCTGACCCTATCCCGCGACAGCCAACCACCATCAGTCATCAATACTTCAAAGGAGATTCATCTACAAGTGATTCTATGATTTCCAAAGTTATCCATGGAAGCAAACATGGCTGCTTTGCAAACCACAGATGTATAGGTTGGCACAATTGCATTCAGCCAAGTTTTGGCGCCGCAACTCTCGCTCTGCTATTTGGGGATCCATGTGACACAGCAGGTTGCTTGGAACCGGAACAAAGGGTTGATGTCCAGCTCTAGCATTGGGCAATGCAGGCCATGGCCTCAACCCGTCGTCAAGCAACAACACAGCTTCAAGGGCAAAGAACTCCACGGGTATGCCTAGTGATTCTCAGCAGCAGCACGGCAGCACAATGTGTCAGGGCCAGGCACATGTTGACATCCATGACCGTTCTGTAGAAAAGCCGATCGTCGCAGTATTTCTTGGTGGAATCAATTGGATGCCGGTGAATAAGAGGGATTGACTCGGTGAGATGCATGTATGCGGCCAATGCTCCCCACCCCAGCCCAGCCCACCAGCACAGCCCACCACGCCAAGCCCAGGCCGCAAAGCCATAATTAATTTGTGTATCCAATGCCAGCCTTTCCACACGTGCAAGCAATTCCATCCTAAATGAAAATGAGCTCTTTCTTTGGTAAAACGAGCTAGAACATGAAGTTTCATGATTGGATTCATCGTTTCCGGTGTATGAAAGACAAGGGGCTGAATGATTCCTGCTCTTAAGTGAGCACGGACTCGATGCCATGGCCGCAGGTACAGCCATGAGTCGTGGAACCTCATTTTCCTGGAACACCAGCGCGCGGCCGCGTATGGGGTCTTCGCCGTCTTCTACAATGGCCTCACTGAGGGAATCAAGGCTTGGCCTGTGGGGGGGGGGTTCTCCAAATGGTGGAGCGGTCAAATGGGTTGAGGGGTGGGCAAGTATCGGTTTTGCCTCGGGAGAGCATGTTAATGGTGTTGTGGGAGGCGCGGTTCAGAGATCAAAAGGTGGACCAGTGTCATGCACTACGGAGCTGGTTCAATATCCAAAAAGCTTGATGTTGAAGCATGGGCGTGTCTAAACATAGAGGGATACGCACAAAATGCAGGTTCCTTTCGGCTGTTTTTTGGAAGCACCATTTGCAAGCGGTCCCCCAGTCTTAACCATCTATAAGATAAGCTTCCTTTGGCAGGGCGGCTTGTCCCTTGACAACTCTCCGCATGGAAAAAGGTCAACCTCCTGAACTTGCAGGGATTTCTATTGGAAGAACCCCCCCCCACCTCTTATCCGCCTTTCTGTTCCCCCCTCCCCTTGTGTAGGTCCCCTTTTTTCAAGAACCCCTGACATTGGGGAATGCACGGGGCCAACCAAGGAGTTTGGGCGAGAGACTCCTTACCTATGGTCATGGCTCCCTTAGGAATCGTGGTGATTCAGGATCCTTATTTCCACGTGCATGACCATCCCAGTTACCCTCGACTATAAGGGTCTTTTGTACTATCCTCGTCTTGTTTGTTTACAAATAGTCTCAAATAGCGTCTTGTTTATTTAGTAATAGTCTCCAATAGTCCCTGCCCCTGCCCTGCTAACAGATAAACAGGCCCACGTTAGTCCCAATCCCGACAGCCTCTTTTGCCTTAGGCGGTGGCCCTCGGTGCAGGCGGCGTGCTCGTGGCCAGGGGCGCCGCTTGGAAGGAAGCTGGGTGCAAGGGCCCCGTGTGGTTTCTGTCGGATGCACCTGGGGATCCCACAAGCAGGAGTGGTTTCTCCGGAGCAGGGAATCGACGATTCCATAGTCTGAGTATTCTGGATGCATCTGCAGGGAAGGTTACCCAAAGTGTTCCTGAGGGGGCGCAACTGTGAAACTGATCTTTCTGGGGAAGCGGAAGCTTGATCCCATGTTGGCGTACACAGTTTGGGGCCACACGCCTGAAAGTCACACCCCCCCGAAACGGCCTCCGCTGAATACAGCCCCTAAAAAACAATAAATCCACTGGACGTGGGGGAAGGTGTTGGCAAAAGATGGCTCGGTACCTTCGCCAGAGGCACGAACTCGAGAGGCCCAAAGGCCGAGGAATCGGCTCCTCACTTCGGTTTTCGGTTGGCTGACACTGGACCTGGCTCAGAAGCCAACCCGACACCCGGGGCCTTACCTCCGCGGGTGGTGGGGTTGTGTTGCTTAAAACATGAAGCAGCCACGAGGCCGACGAAACGAACCCGAAGGAGTCCGTTCTCCACGACCCCATGGCTTCTTTGAGGGTAAGTTGCCTGGGCATGGTAGAAGCAAAAATTGTAAGGGACGCCTTTTTTTAAAAAAAGAAAGAAAATGGAGTTGCTCTATTTCAGGCAAATCCATTCGCTTGTTGGCCCACTTCTGCGGGCTCTGGCAGGAACCGCAGGACTTTAGATGCCTTGGATGCCCATTTTTTCGAGGGAAGCACCTCAGAAGTGGTTGGTGGACATGAATCCGTGAAGTCCACCAAAGGGTTCCCTATTGAAATTCACACCCCAGTTGCTTCACCTGATTTGATTGTCTCTAGGCCGAGCAAGCTTGAATGAAGCACGCAGCGATTCGCAAAGGGTACTTGCAGTGCGTTTTTGGTTTGCGGTTCTTCCGGGGCCAACAGTTGCAGCGGACGCGTCTCCAGAGCGCGTTCCAACTGGCAACATCTGAAGCAATGTATGGAGGGGGTGGGGGCAGGCATATCATGTCACAAAGATCCTTCCTCTTCCCTTGGTTTCAAGGGGACACCCTTGGTTTCAAAGCTCGACCACGTCTGGAACAAGAGGGTTCGCCTATCTAAACCACTGAAACAGGTCCTACCTCAAACAGCATCGTGCCGGAGGGCAAGCCGTGGAGCAAACCCTTCCCTCTGCGCTCCACGACTTACCTCACCGAAACAGGATCCCAGCATCTTATGGTGTACCCCGGGCCTCCCGCGTGGCATAAGAAAGGGGCCCCGCTCAATCCAAGGGCCTCAGCCCAGAGCAGCTTACAGCGTGGCTCGGATGAGATGCGCCCGCGTTTTCCGGGGGGGGTCTGAGGAATCTGGGGGCATCTACCCATGATATGTTTTGATACATATAAGTTACATATACCTTTGGGGTCTCAATATTCAATCGAAAGACTTGGCGGCACTAAGAATATCATGTTCAGATTCTGGCCCACATGGGTGCGTCCATGTTTGAGGGAACCACCGTTTTCTTTTGTAGCAAACCAACAGGACAACCTACCATTTGGGGGGTCCAATCTTAAAAAAAACACTCACATATTCAACCAACCTTAGAATCTACAATTCTCTTCTGGGCAGACTTTGACTTGCAATGATACATATATATATATATAGGTTTTGTTGGGATGGATTCAAACCAAATTGAAGATACAGCGGATGGCGTCCTCTGCTGGGGCTTTGACAGACCTCAGGTGGGCAGTGTCCTTTCGGCTTTCCCTTGCACACCATCCCAAGGGGTAAATGTTAGGAAGCACATAGAAAGTGCCGGACAGTTTATTAAGTAACAGGTCCTCGGTGTTAAGGCGCATGCGGTTGTGTTGCCGACAGCGGTTGTTTGCACCAAGCAAATGTGTGCAGCCACGAAGATGAACGCCGCACTGCCATGGGGCGCTTGTCAGCCGCAGGACCCTGAAATACCTTTTTCAACCCCCAACCTCTTTCTCGGGGCCACAAGCCAAAAGGCACAATGGAGGTGAACAGAGACCAGGTTTGGTGTTGCAAATATGATCAAAATCTCCAGAATCAGCCTCCACGACGGGCGTGGATCAAACATAGGCACCCAACATGGAACCCTCATAAGTGGACCGGACCAAGAACGGTTTTTGGGTGGTTTTATGTTGACCCCAGTTAACCCAAAATGCCCCCCCCCCCCCCCCAGAATCGCGTCACTGAACCAGCTCAGGTCCATGTTGTATGTCGATAACGTGGTGGGCTCTTCGCTCTCGGTGGGCGGCCAATATAGGCCGATGATTTGTCCAGAGATTCGGCGCCGCCGAAGGTTTTTTTGTGTTTTAAGACTTGAGTTCAGCGGGCGAAAGGGCGAAATGGGGCTGCTGTTGCTGGAAGTCATCGGCTCGGTTCCGGAGAGTTTGTAGAAATGCAATGGCAGATGTTCGCTAGCGGATCGGTGGCAACACACGGGGAAATGGCATCTTTTTTGTGGGGCACAGCATTTGAGTCCTGTTGATCTGGTGCCAAACGAATCCCAAGCATCAGTGGGTTCAAGTGAGGCAAACATATGGCAAACATGTATGTTTCAATTGAGTGAAACCGTCCTGTGCCATGAGCAGCTATTTGTTGTTTAGTGGGACTTCGAGATGGTGTAGCAGTGTAAACGTCATGGTGCCTGTGGAAAAGGTTCGCTGGCCAGCTTTCTCAGTTTCAGCAGCGCTCGCCGTCTAGCAGGTGCCGACAGGCCCCTTGAGGGTGCTGCTTCTTGTTGTTTGATCGAAGGTAGATTCCACTGGTTTCAAGTCGTTTTTTCTTTTGTTTTTGCCGTTAACCAACACCGTGTAATTAGTTTTTAGTTTTTTGGATTAGCGGATCGCTTACCCAAGGATCAAAGCAGGTTTTGTGGAAACTTGACCCCAAAATGAGCTCAACATCAAACAAGTTGCACTTGGGTCTCAGCTTCCGTTTCCTTTCAAATACGACATCTTGAGACTGTTTACCAGGTGGGCCAATATTTAGCTCATTGTGAAGAACAGTTTTAGGGCCATTTATGTGAAAGGAATCCCCCTTATGATAAAGTAGAAGGAATGATAATCCCACGTTGGTATCAAAATATGGATTTGGACCTCCAAAATGACGGCGTTTCTTGTGAATCCCGTTCAACCCAAGCGAAAAAGCCCCCCTCAAAATTAAGGGTCATTTTCATGTCAACGATTTGTTTCCGCCTAAGGCAGGGGTGAACCTTCCACTGGCCAGGCAGCTGATGCAGGCCATTGGCTCTTCCCGCAAGGCAGGCAGAGCTGAAAGCTTCGCCAAGCTTAAGTCAGAATGGGTGTGCTTTTTCACACCGCAAGGAGAGCCACCGGTTTTGGGGAGGGGAAGACACAAAGCTCAACCAAAAGAACCGGGGAACAAGACATTGCGGGAACCGTGGATTTTGACCGTGGCTCAACTGAGCTGAAGCAAACGCGAGTGCTGAGATCGCTCTATTTCCCAAGCAAGGCGCATTTCCCTTGCAGCGAACATGGTGAAGCATGGTGAAGCTTGTTCTATTTGCTGTCGCTCGGCTTCTTTTCAAAGTTTGCAAACGAAAGCGTCTGCCCATCTTGACAGTGAATACTGGGCCAGTTGGTTTTATGAACGGTTTTCCAGCTAAGTCAAAGGATCTATCAGTTGAAAGAGAACGTTGAGAAAGTCACTTTTTTGGGGGTGTGTTTTTAGGCACTCTTTTTGGGCTTGCTGCCAAAGGGAGGTCAAAAATTCGGAGATCCGAATCCCTGGCCGGTCAAAGTCCCCTTTTTTCGACCGACCCAACCGGCGCCTCGACGCCAGGTCTTCGAGTACGCGGAGATGCCTCCGTCCCCGAGCGTGGAGCCGAGCAACGAGCCAGCGGCTGAGTCAATCAGTAGGCTCTAAGACCGCCAGTCGTTCGAGGCACCAGCGCCGCACCAATCCTTGCAGCGGTGCAGTTTGCTTGGATGTTAGGACTTTAACTTTTTGCCAACGAATTGGTTTTTCATTAAACCACTAAAAGCTGAAGTTTTAGCAGGGGACCGAGGTTGGGCGATGACAGCGGTTTTGTTGGCAATGGACACTTGGCGAGTCGTGCACAAAGGTCTCGATTGTGTTTCTTTTTGGACTAGTAGGGATGAATGGGGACCGTATATTACCTGTACCGCATCCTTGGTACTTGTCCAGACTGAAAGCTTGTTTGCAGGGCCAGCAGGATTTGAACCTGCAACCTCCTCAACAATTGTTGAGGCGCGCTGCCATTGCGCCATGTCCCCTTCTCCAACATATTTCCGTCCAAGAACACTCGTTGAGCTCCACCCGAACCGGGTCATGGACCCATGTTTTCCCTGCCCAGCTTTTCAGCGTAGGGTTCATGGCCTGAGGAGGGCTGCAATGACACGCAAGCGCAGTCGCTTTGCCCTGGACCAAAAGTTATCCATATCCTAAGTTGTCACTCTTTTCAAGGTATCTGGGGGTCATCAAGGTCAGAACATGGGCTTGTTTCCCGTTAAAGCCACTTAGCGGATCACTTGTGGTGAAATAATGAGGCCAGTCATACCATGACGTGAGGGAAAGGCATGAGGTGCAGATGTTGGGGAATGCGTCGAAAGGAGCCGACAGTGATTGCGGACTAAATCCAGCACCACTCGCTTCAGCATGAACAAACACCTGCCATGCTTTTCACCGTTGTCGGAGCCTTGAGCTACAGCCACAGTCACTCGGAAGCCTGCATGTTATGAAAGGGACATCGTGCTTTGTCAGTTTTGCTGACAGGGTACATTATCTGAAGAACACTGAACAGAACACGCGGGGAGACAGTCTAAGAAGGGAAGCAGGCAATCAACGTGCAGCTTCGCTGAGCGAAGCTGGGCAGGTTTCCACCAAGCAAACCCAAACAGCCGGTGGGAAACAAATACAGCAGATGGGTATGGGTCAAAAGTAAACCACCAGGGGACCGCAGGTTTTGGTCCATGGCTCCACTTACCAGGGTTCTGAACCATGGCCAGAGAGTTGCGCCTGAGGACTGCGCTGCAGATCGTCCCCTCTGGCGATTTCCGTGGCAGCGTCCTGTTCCGTGGCAGCCCCAGTTGTCCGGCGGCTTCGACCGTTTCTGGTCCGCTGTCTTTGGCGGGTTTCTGGGTCACGTTTCCTTGTTGTCAAGACCAGGCCCCAAACAACTACAATATCCAGTTTCCTCTTTTCCGGGGGAGTGGTCGTCCTGATGCAACGCAAGCGAGGTCGTGCAGCGAAAATCCGAAAATTACTATCCAGCAGATCTGCAACAGGTCTGAGCTGGAGGGCAGAGAAGCGACATGCCCACATGGCCATGGGTCAAAAGCCCGTACCCCAGTGAACATCCCAATCCGCACTAAAATAGACTAAAATGGGTGGTGCACCTACCCCAAAATGGTACCATTGGTTTTGACCCACAGCCACGTCAACCTGGGCAATTTGATTGTCCAGTGACCCCATTGCAGCGCAACATGATCTTTATCGTGAACGTCAGAGTTGTCCGGTTTCCCGTGCGTGGGGATTGGGGATGCTTTGCGTAGACTTCGGAAAATAAATAAACCAGTGGCTTTGGGGAGTTCCCTCCTTAAAAGTGATACCCGGATCCCCAGAATGGGACATCCTTTAATCCAACAATAGGTAATCATCCAATTCCGCTCATAGGTTGCAGCCAATCAGACTAAAAGCCTAGATCAGTGTGGAGTGTTTTGTTTTGTTCGCGGCTTGAAAGGAAAACCAAGAGGAAACCCTGTTGCGACAGTTTGGGGGTCCGGGGTCCAAATCCTAAAAACGACCCCCCGCTTGCTAAGTGAAAGTGGGGCTGGATCCAAGTTCTCGGCTTCGACAGGCAACGTGTCCTTCACCTATGCCTCGCGGACCGAACCGGTTCTTCAAGGACTGACGCAGGGGTCCAACGGCTCATGTCGGTTGGAACACCTGGGGCCACTTTGAGCGGAGTTTCATATCTGCTTTTGCTTATTGGGCATGTGCAAGAAGCCCCTTTGCAGGATTCTATATAATGGACTCCTTTACAGAGGGGTTCTTCATTTGTGAGGGGAGCAAAAGGTAAAGACACCTTTTGACCTGAGCAAGGTGTTACTTTCGCCTCTCAGACTCTGAAGGGGTTGTTTCTAAAAGCAGCTCGAACCCAGTAGATGCAGGCTTGCGGATCATCATCTTAAGGCAAATAATGGGCGGCTAGTTTGACTCTCGCGTGGTTGAACAATATGCAGGGCACTCTGTTGTTTGGTTGGCCGGACGCCTGTCCCACAGTTTGGCCCCCGACTCACCTGGGAACTTGTGAAAGAGGGTCAAGAGACTCAGATGCAAACTTTTGAATTTGCATCCCCTTCATTGATAGGGCCCTCAATTTCTAGTCTTGAGACCTCAAAAAGGTGGCAGTTTCTTGGGAACCCACCAACACCACTGTTGAAGAGAACATAGACAGGACACCAACGGATCCTTAAGAAGCTCCTTTGGGAGCTTGTCTTTGTTGCGAAGCAGGTGTATGGATAGAGGTTTACGCCAATGACACCCAACAGTTTCGATGACGCAGCACTTGGCTGTCATTTGTGCGAAATTGGAAATGCAGGTCAGATTGCTCTGTTCAGGGGGGGGGGGGCGTGTAAAGAGGGTCCAACATGAAGCCAACTCCTGTAAAAGAATCTCAAGAATGGTTCAATCAAACAAGGACACGCTGAAACACGTCTGGACGAGCGGACGACCGTGGAGGATGACGTACAGGGCATGTAACAAGGAATGAAGAGGACGCAAATTCTGTTTTTTGCTTCAAATGGTCTACTCAGTGTTTGTTGAGGACAAAGAAACTAACTATCATTTTGCCCAGCACAACCCGCAAAACCCAACATCCTGAAGAAGCAAGGAAAACATATGCAAGATGAACTTCTAAAGCTTCTACTCGGCTTCTGCCGACCAAAAACTGTCATTTGGCTGTGGTTGTCAAAACCGCTTTGCGATCCCATTTTGGGGTAGGTGCACCACCCATTTACTTACTTTAGTATTGCCAATTCTGCTTTAGTATTGCCAAGGCCCCCTCTCAGATAGATTCCCAGTACTTACTTTAGTATTGCCAATTCTACTCTAGTATTGCCAAGGCTCCCGCTCAGATGCCCAGTTTTCTTACTTTAGTATTGCCAATTCTACTTTGGTATTGTCAAGGTATTTTTCAGATTCCCAGTGCTTTCTTTAGCATTGCCAATTCTACTTTCGTATTGCCAAGGCCTCAGTACTTAACATTGGTATTGCAAATTCTACTTTAGTATTGCCAAGGCCCCCTCTCAGATTCTCAATACTTGCTTGCTTTAGTATGGCAAATTCTACTTTAGTATTGGGAATTTCAGCAACCCCCCCCCAAAACCGGTTGGACACTAAAGAGGACCCCAAAGAGGAGCGGGGCATCTTGTGGGCACCCCCTTTGTGTGATTGATTGGCCTCACTTTTTTGTAAAGAAGCTATCTTAAATTGCAAAAATGATTTCCTAGATCTCAGGCCTTTAACCTTTGAGCTGGGAAGAGCGTGGCTAGCCTGAGCCAGAAGAGAAAACCAGTTCAGTTTGTTTCTCATTTTTGGGAAGGGACACATTTTTTGGGGGGAAGGGAACAAACATGCCACAATTGAGGACCCCAAAGCAGTCACAATATCCTGAATTGCGAAACATATCCACAATAGAGGGTACTTTTCCCGCATAGTATGCGATGAAGGCGTTAAAAAAGGGCACCCTAAAATACACAACTTATGTGAACACACAATATACATATATATGTTTATATACACATGGTACCCCCCCCAACAGAAAAGCCTAGGGTGGCTGCAAATAAATAAGTGGAGGGCGGTCAGAAGCGGAAGGCGTCGGAGGTAGTATATCAATCCAATCCACTTGTTCAAAAGTGGCTAGGGCTCGCGGCGCGGCCATCAGAGCTAGTCTCAAGCATCAGTTTTTCTTGGCTCCTCTTGTTGAAGGGCTCCGATCCCCTCCAAATTTCAATCCCGGGCCCTTCAGGAGTTTGCCTCCTTTTTTGGATTTGTGACCGGTCCAGCGCAGCTGCTGCGCCGCCGGTCCCTACATCTGCTGGGGAAAACTAAACCGTTAAAGCCACAAAACGTCTAGTCCCATGAAAAGCAACACCTACACCTTCCAGCCGTTTTTTAGTTCCGTGTTCTTCGGACTTTCCCCTAGTGGTAAATAATTAGAAAGTAAAACTGTTGCACCAATGAAAGTACAAGTACACTGGCTGAAGTAACTAAAGTAAAAACACGTTTGTGAATTTTGCCTGTTTACTTTACAGGCGAAAAGTTAAAAGTAAACCTGCCTGAAGTTAATAAAAGGCTTTACAGCTCGGAATTCTACTTGTGTACTTTTATTGGCCAGAAAGTAAGCTGGCAATGCTAGTTTTTACTTTTCATAGCTCCAAGTGTTTTGCTTTTAGCTGTTTTCTCTTTCAGCGTTGAATGGTAAAACAGGAATACTCCCTGAAGCATATACACATACATACACATATATACATATATATATATATATACATATATACACATGCATACACACATATACACACATATATACACATACATACACATATATAAACATATATACACATACATACACAAATATACACACATATATACACATACATACACATATATAAACATATATACACAGGTACAACTAGCTGAGCGACTCGGCGTCTTGTGTGCGCGAGGATTCGACTTGGAGCTGACGCCGGGCAGCACCATCGCGCTGGTGGGATGTGACGAGGGGGGGGATGGCCATGTTTCAACATGGACAAAATCCACGGGGATCCGCGGTGTATCTCTGTGTGTGTGTGTATGGGTCATCCATTGGATGTCAGGCATTGTGACTGAGTGGCTAAAGGCCAAATGAGGGTTGCGTGGTTCGCCGATACTTGGCATCTTCTGCGTGGTCGCAACCCAGCCTTGCATTTTGGCATGTCTTTGTTGAGGGTACCTTGTTGTTGTTTGAAGAGAAACCAACAGGCAAACCAAAATTTCGAGGTCACCTGAAAAACGAGGTGCCCATGTTCCTGTAAGATGGAGGCGACTTATACGGCAACTTGACGCATTTTGCGAACCAGACTTCACCAGGGCCCCCTTGGCAGCCAGTCCCATCAAGCCATGGGCGCGAAAAATATCTAGACAGGAGTAGGGACCTCAGACCCAAAACACGTCCTTGTCATATGGGGATGGCGTGTGCATGTGTTTGGACCCATATTCATCCAATGAACCAAGCACGCACACTTTGGTAGTTCAGAGGATCATTCCCCAATTCAAATATTTCAGAGACACGGGTGCTGTTTGGTGAAGTCACAGACTGCTGTTTCACTTTTCTTCCTGCCATCCACAGAAAAGACACTTCACATGAATCAGAATGGCCGATGTATATTCATTTGTCCACCAGTCAAGTTACATGCAATTCCAAAAAGATCCTTCAAGATGGTTCGAACATGATTTCCGGTTGCACACCAGGTGTTGACACTCATTCCGTGTGCTCAGCAGGGAATGAGAAATGGAATCACCCCTATAAACCATCCGACTGGTGGTTTCCCTCCAATTCCCAGGTTCATTCCATTTCTCCTTCCCTAGCTCTCGCCGCAAGATCTTGCGATGTGAGGGAAGGACCCCAAAAACAGGCCATGCTTGGTTTCCTTTTAGGGAGACACCCAGGTTCATTCCAACTCATTCCCTACTTATCCTAGGTCCCCCAGTAGTGCCCTTTTACCCTTTTTTGGGGAGGGTTCCCCTAAAAGACTACAGAAGAAAAAAAATGGGGTACCCTTATTGTAACCTCTGTACTGGAGGACCTAGCCTACTGCTCGCACCAAATCCCTTGTAGGTGGGGCACTCGGGGTGCGGCAAGAGCACCGTGGCGGCACTGCTGCAGCCGGAGTCTGAGAATCCCACCAAGTCGGTGGGGCCATCAACCCCACCCGGTGGCACTCGTGTTTTTGTTTACCCTTTTTGTGGGGAGGGGTGGGCCCCTTCAACATCAACCCACAAAGGGGTGCCCATTTTTTTCCCCAATGGCGACTGGTGAGTCAGATTGTTGGAGTGACTTCCGTGGGTTGAGTTGCTTTTTGTTCCCCGACATGCGCCGACGTGAAATAAGACATGGAAACCCAAAAGAGAAAACCGGGGTAACCGGGTAGTCGTGGGCCCCAAATCAGAAGAACACCCTCTAGAAATTCGCACTTTTTTGCTTGCGGCTGCATTCCCTTTGTCCCTTCAACACAACCTAAATGGTACTTCAGCAAGGCGCAATTTTTAGACCCAAAAACCGCCTATCCATTGCACTTGTGAGTCACCCGATCTGGAGGCTTCAATTGAGCTTTCGTTCTCGAGACCACCAACTTTAAGCTGGGCTTTGGTGGACCGGGTTGTCAGTTGTTTGTTTTCGCTACAATATCGAGCCCCTTTACGCATGTTTTCCTTTTCCGCCAGGGACACCTGACTAGGGTGATTTTCCTTCCATGCAGATCTCTTGAACGGAAATCACCAAAGCACTGTGCCATGGCGAGAGATCATGTGGGACTCTTTTGCATTGAACTTTCTAGTTTCCCTTTCAACAAGCTGCTCAGAATTCATGCCCTTCCGCTCAAGCGGCTTCCTCGGATGATTGCCTTTGGTGTAATGAGCTTTAGGGCGGCTCTTCCTTCGAGTTGCCTCCCCTGGTTTCCTCTTCGGATGACTCGCCTGATCCTTCTGAACAAGGGTGGCAGGCCCAAGGATGAGGAAGATCCACCGGGTGCTGAGCATCAGCCTTTGGGGGCCTGTGGTGATGATGATTCGGAAGGGGCTCCGACCTGGAAGGCTTCGATGATCCGCTGGACTTGAAGAACGGAAAGAAGACAAAGCGGCGAAAGAAGCCAGCCGCCGCAAACCACAAGAAGAAAAAACGAGCTGGGAGATTAACAAGTAAGGGGATCCTCGAAATCTGGCTGAAGGTGATTGTTTGACTGGCCCAAATGTACTTGCCTTTGTTCTGGAAACACCAAGGTGAACATGCTTTCCTCGACAAACATTCACCCATAAGGAATCCCAATTTTCCAAAACCAAACTTCATCATGGGTGAGCTCGCTTGAACCTCCGATCAGTGAGCTCATTGTTTGTTCAGATTTCTTTGTGGCTCCCGGCTCCCTTGGCCTTTTCTTAGCTCGAACCATTTCTTGGCAACTGGTTTCCCAAGAAGCAGGGACGATGAGTTCCATCCCTGCTCGAACGTGCAAACTGGGAGAGGTTTCGGTACTGATTTGGCTGATGTTCAAAAAAGGGAAACTCACTGAGCAAAGGCCTCATCACAAAAATGGCCACTCCAGTGAACCCCTAAGCGGCCCAATGATCGAATTTCCTGATGTGGGTTTTTTGTTCAGATCAGTTCGAGCCCCCCTAGTAGGCAGCTTCAGCATGATCAGATCTCCTGATGTGGGTGTTATCTTTTGCAGGATACCCCTTTCAGTTGGAACCCGACCACGCCCCCGTAATCGAATCAAGGCGTTGGTACGAACCCGACCACGGCCGCATCTTCCTGGACGGCTCGGGGCTGAGCTTTCAAGTTCCATCCGCGTGGCCGGGGGAACCTGGGGCCAAAGCTCGGTTTGTAGCTTTGGGTTGCGTGGCGTGGCAGCGTGGATCTTGGGTATAGAAACACCAAAGAACCCACCCGCCCCTCCCTCCAACTCAGGGAAACCATCGAATGTTCGCGATCAATTCCCTTCTGGTTGATTGTAGAATAGGGCCTTTAGTGGGGGTGTCGCCTTGTAGGGATCCGATGCGGCTCACTGTTGGAGGGAAGCATTTGTTTTGAGGGTTCCTTGTCACCGGATGTACTTGAGAAGTCAAAAAAAAGGTCATTTGGTAAATCCTCAAGCCACCAACCAGGGCAAGACTCAAGTAAACGACGGCCGTCTTTTGTCACTGGCCAGGATGTTGTGAAAAAGGAGGTAAGGCTTGGGGACCAATTCTCGACCATGATCTGAAGTTGGGAGAACGTCTAGTTGGCTCCTAACACTGCAGAGAGGAACCTCTGGATGAGTTTTTCATGACAAAAGTCAGCCGGGGCCATCTGCCAGCTTGAGGCAGATTTGGCTGTGCAAAGGTGCAGGATGTTTGCCTTCTATCCCGTGCGTTCCCCTTCTTAGTGGGGAAAAGTCACTCATCACTGCAGGAGTAAGAGGATAATGATTACTCTCACTTCCTGAGTTCATGAACTTTAAACACTTTGGGAAGACTATCTTAGTGGTAAAAATAAAGTTTGGACTTTTTTGGGCCATCCACTCAGCCAGTGAGTAGTAGCATTCTTTCCCGGAGGTCATGCCTTAGTGGAGTCTTGTTGCACCCCATGCCGCCCCATCCGAAAAGTTTAGCCCCAGGCCGGCCCATCGATGAGCTGGACCCCCGCTGGTTCCGGTCTCTCTTCGGAGCGCGGGAGCCCAGGCTTTGGGCACTTGCTGGGGCCATAGGTAGGGGATGACCGGTTCCGGGTGTTGGGAATGAAGGGGTAAACGTGGGTTCCCGCAAAGGAAGCCATTGGGGATTGGTTTTTCTCGGGGTCATTCCAACTCATTCCCTTCTGAGAACCAGCAGGTTGTTTAGGGCCACGTTTCATGCCACGGCCAGGGGGGTCTTTGCAATGACCGAGTTCCATTCCGAAAAGGCGCAAATCCCGAAGCTCGCAAGGCTTCCAGCACTCCGTGGACGTGTTCAGGCATTGCTAACCCAGTCAATTCTGCCCCTGAAGGCGGATGAAACCTCTGCCATAGCACAAATGCACAAGCTCACTCGGTAGGTGTTGTGATAGTGCACGGGCCGCGGCATGCTCGTGTTGCTTCCCCAGCGCAAGTTTCAACACGCTGAATTGAAGCACCGCCTGGCACTTGCCCTGCTCATCCACGGCAGCATGCCACACAAATGTTAACCAATGGCAGTTTGGCTCAAGTGAAAGGCAGCACTGGGGATTTCATAGGAGGTTTCGATCTGCTGTATCCCAAAGGCAGACCCGAATTCTGACACACAGCCGCACCTGACTTTGCGGTTGGACTTCTTGTCAAATCATTAACTCCTCTGGCAAAAACATCTTGCGTCAAGCATGTCCACGTGATGTATCATGGAATTTTCCAGCTGTACCCTCCCCATTCTCTTCAGGCATCATTCTCTTCAACGAATGGGCCAAAACCTGGAAAATGGGTGGTTTCCAAAGAGAGTGATGGGTGAAGAGAATGGGAAATCAAACCTTCGAACTTTCCCCGCGCGTATTTCATCGATTGCTCATGGTTCAACAAAGACTGAGGTCATTCCACTCATTCCCAAGGCTTATGGGCCAGAGTCACGGCCCGGAAAACCACAACCACCGCTACAAGCCATGGGAAATCCCAAGGGAAATCCCAAGGAGAATCCTGGGAGGCACGTAGGCTAGGGACTTGGCATCTTTGCGGCTGATCAGATCTAATTGCTTAGACTTCGAAGGGGCTCTGCATTTCCTCAATGGAGTTCAAACAGTGCTGATGGACGCGGCATAGATTGCTAGTGAATTTGGGGCTTCTCATTGACGAGCGTGGCTTGGGAAGTGATGCAACCCATAGCGGACCACAGTGTGTGTGTGTGTGTGCCATTTCCTCCCACCCGGCTTTGAAGAGGTGAGACATGTTCTGCAGCAAACAAGCTGAATTGCGTCCCGAAGCATTGACAGGGGTTACAAACTGGTGCAGGCTTAGGGCCTTGAGCTGACGTGAGATCCCATGGCACTCAAAACCTTTTAGCATCTCATTGACACCTGAGACATAACCATGCAGGTAGCTTTTTGCTAGACATATATTAAGTAACATATTGATAGTGATAGATTATAGATTTGCGTCTTCTTGCCCTTGGTCGAAAAGGGACACCACATGGAAGACAAACATGTTGATTGTTATGTGCTTGTTTTTTTGGCGGGGGGTCCCCTATTTTGCGAGAAACCCACATGTAGGAAAGCCCACCTATCTTCCTGATGTGTGACTTGTTTGGATTTGTCCTAGACCCCCCTATTTGGGTGTGTGTTTGTTGAGGTTACCCTTGTCCAGGTTCGTTTGAAGGGACACCAAAAAGGACACCCACCATTTTGAAGGGTCCAATCCCAACTTTGACGCAAGGGTGTTGGTCTCATCAATAGGGGACCCCAACAATGTTTGGGTTCGATTTGATTTGGATTCCCTTTCAATTCAACCAAACGGGGCTACCCTCAAAATGGACACGTGGACCCTTAAACTACTCTAAAAAATCGGATATATCCCTTTTCACTTTGGGGCAAGAACCCATATTCAACAGTAGTTTCTTTCGGGTCCCACCCCCAAAGCTGGGACATGCTTTCCCCAGAGTTTCTAGTCAAGAACCAACTTGCTGGTGCTCAGCAGGGAATGAGAAATGGAATGACCCCTACTATAAGCCATCCAACTGCTGGTTTCCTTTAAGGGGACCAATTCCTGGGTTCATGCCCACATTCCCAACCTATTGAGGGAATGTCCCTGAAAAATGGGCTAAAGCGTTAACCGTAGGTGGTCGCTTGTCTTGACTCTTAATAAGTATCCACTTGGGCCACCATTTTGGCTCAAGTGGACCTTTTGACATTTGGTCTTGTGATTTGAAATAGTTATACTGGCAGCGCTGGGCCATGGCTGATGTGCCAAATCGAAGGTACGCCAACCCCAGGCCAGACCTGAGGCCAGTGCGTGCCCAAATGGAAGCGGTTTGGGAGCATTTCTTCATGCTATGGACCATCCGAGCTGGCGTGACATGCAGGAGCGAGTACGAGACTCGAACGGCGCTCCGGCTGGACAGCTGCCAGTTCATGTGGACGGGCGTTAGCATGCTGTCCATGGCGAGAAGCCACCAGTGGAACTACGAGGCATCAGATCGTACATCCCTGCTCCAGGATGCAATACTTCAGCAGGTGCCAAAAAGATCCCGATTTTCCATTTCCGTCCTGCTGGGTATCTTTTGCAGCTTTTCAGCTGCGCAGGTGGTTCAGGATAACTTAAGCGACGTCCTCAAGGCAAGGACGCTGCGGGGCGCGGCAGAAGTGCTGGTGGCCAAGTCGGAGGCGCCAAGCGCGTTGTTCCCGAGCTTCAGCATTTGGGGGCGGGTGAAGCAGCACATTTTGCAGAAAAAGAACGTGGAGGAAGCCAAAGACTGGCTGCGCGAACAGAACTTCTTCGTTTCAGCGTATGCTGGACAACTACCCCTGCGAGACCAGGCCGGATGCACACGCAACAAGCGAGATGTGCTGAAGGAGTTTCTGGCGAAGGGTCTGCAAAGTGTCGGCGCCCTGTGCGCCAAGAACATCTTTCGCATCTACACCCGTGCCCGCGTCCCCAAGGTGCTCCTCAAAGAGGACTCCCAGTGGTCCCTGACTGGGCCTGGGGCCCGCAAGTTCTTGAACCTGGCTGCGGGGCGAGAAGCTAGCTTGAACACGGACACGTGCTCCACAGCGGCTTTCGAGCTATACAGCCGCGAGCTGCGCCTGGCCTGGCTGTCCTACCGGAGGGCGGGCACCCGATTGATCAAGCGCTATGGGGCAGAGACACTGGAGGGTCTGGCGCTGGCGAAGCACCTGAGCGACATGTCCACGACAGATGCCTTTCAGTTTCAGTGCTGCGAGTCCATCAAAGCACTGCAAACGTTCGAGCCTGCGCCGCCCGGGTTTCACTTTCCGGAGTGGATGTGGGCCTCCAACGTCCGGCTTCGCGAAAAGACCCCGGACCCGTCCAAGAAGCGATCTGCCGCATGCATTGAGTGAAAGAGAGACCCGGGAAGAGGACTTGGGGCCCCCCGGGGCCTTTTCCCGGGTCTCTCTTTTGAAGTGCGTGCAAGGCGCCGGATCACACGTTTCTTGCCTTTGACGGAGGAGGTGTTGGAGGCCAGCTCCTGAAGAACCTGGACTTGGACCTCTTCCGTGAGAAGCTATTGGACAAGCTGGGTGCGGACTGGGGGAGACCCACACCGGAGCTCCCCCAGGCCCAGACCACTGCGGAGGCGGCGAAAGCGAAACACCAAGCCAGACAGGCGAAGGGCTCCCTCGAAACCAGGCTGCTCGCGCCCATAGCGCCTCCCTTCAGTGCTTGGCCTAGTCAGGTCCGTGTCGCCATTGAAACTGGGGTCTTCGAGCCGACAACGGCATGGAGGGACTTCAGCATGGACGACCTCACATCCCTCACGGACTCCTACCTTGAGGCCAAGGCGGTCATCTCGCTGGGTAGGAATCCCTTCCCGGCGGCCCTCCTGGCAGATCTGCCGGACCTGGAAGGGGTCCCCATGCCAAAGGCGGGGGGCTCTGGTGCGGCGTGCCCAGGTGCCGAGGGCCCTGACAGGCCGCCCACCATCTCCTCAGCCTCGGGCTCTGGCGGGACGAGCTCAGGTGCCGCTGACAAGCCGTCCGCCACCCCGGTGGGCCTGGACCCCTCCGCCCCTGGGTGCCGGACAGGTGCCGATGGCCCTGACATCCGCCCCAGGGGAGGTGAGGGCGATGAGGGGATCGTTTACCCCCCCATCACGGCGGACAACGTCCACGGCGTGGTGGGTAAGGACTACCGGAAGAAGAACTATCCGGTGGAGACGAAGCATGTCTTCTGGGCGCACATGGAGTGTGGCCTGGTCCTGAGCTCCGTCACCCCGTGGGAACTCATCCCGAAGACAAAAGGGGAGACCCGGGGGGGCTACATGTGCAAGTATTGTAAAGGGTACTGGCGTGCCGGGGGAGGGGGCACCCGCCTCCTCCAGATCCGGGCCGGCAAGGCCATCTTGCAGCTGGTGTTGGACGAGCCGCCGGAGGGCCTCTACAGCCGCTGGGTGAAGGAGCGGCTGGAGTACTACCGCCGGGTGGAGCCCTCGGCCCCGTTGCGGGACGTCTCCATCGTGGACCAGAAGGTGCCCAGGTTCAGATTCAGCCAGACCACCCAGACAGGCCACGTCTCCAATGCCATCTGGGAGCTGATTCTGCGGAATCCGGAGGCGGCTCGATGACATCGCGAAGGGGGCCGCGTGATGATGCGGGACAACGCCATCTTCCGGCACATCATCCAGGACCGCGACCAGCCGGAACGGATGCGCAGCGCACCCCGGGGGTGGGACAGCTGCCGAAGGCGCTGATATCCCCCCCCAGGGAACAGAGCAGGCCCAGACTTGCACCAGGCGAGAGAAATTGGCGCGGCTTGGGCTGATCCGGGGTGCGTCTTGGTTCCCCTCTCTTGTCTGGTTTTCCCTTTTCGGGGCGGCTCCCTGGGTCCCCCCCCTTTTTTCCCCCGTTCCCTCCGTTTCGGGGTTGGCTTTCCGGGGTTTTGGGGGGCCCCCCTGTTGTTTGATTGGGGTTTGCACCTAGGGACTAACCCCCCGGCTCGAGTGGATCATGATGATGTGGAGGCCCCGCCTCCCTTCCCCGTTTGGGACGACCTT